GCACCAAAATGAGTATAGGGATCCTGTCCCAGGGACTCTGAGACATCATCCTAGGTACTGTTGCCATTGGCAACTTGGTTGTGCAGTAACTTTCACTGTGTTCTTTGTTTTGTTTTCATATTCTGGGAACTGAACTGGGTTTTGCCCCAAACTACATCTCTGGCCCTAGCTTTTTACAGCCCAATTCCCATACTGATCCCATCTCCAAACCCTATCACCAAGAGGGCATCCAAGCAGCTGTCCCTTCTAATCCCCCTGTCCGATCTTTGAACACTCTCATCTCAACAATAGCATGCCTGTCCATGCTGTCGTTTTTAATCTAGAAGTTGGAAATAGAGCGAAGGGTGTTTCAACCAACAAAGGGAACCCGGTGACCACTTATATGTATGTGGATAGCTTGGTTTTAAATTTTCATAACACATATACTCTGTTTTGTTTTAATTTTTTTTTTAAACATCACAATCTGGAGCCAGTCAGCCCTCTTCACTTTCCAGTGAATGGTTGGCAGAGATCTCCCAACTATTTACTTAATAATTTGTTTAAAAGTATAGTGCTGCAGCTGGGTGCCTGCTTGCCTTTTGTTTGTTAGTTTTTCTCGAAGAATCATGTGCTACAAGCAAGGATTGTTTGTCCTGTGGGAAGCTGTGTGGAGGATTTGGATTTGGGTTGCTGTCTTCTCTGGTCTGCAGGCAACTGGTTTACAGGCCACCCTAGCTCTCTTCTGTCGACTGCCATGTCCCCTCTCTGGCCTGCTCTCTGGTTTACCCAGCTGTGCCAGGTCTTTTCTGTGGACTGTCATGTCCTCTCTCTGGCCTGCCCTCTGGTTTACCCAGCTGTGCCATTGGAAAGGGAACAGCTGGACATAAACAATCGCACTGCCCCCATCAGGTACAAAAGGGTTTGTGCTGCTCCTTTGGGCATTGCTGGCTTCTTAAAGAATGCAAAATAAAGCAAATTTATAATGAGCAAAGTCTTATGAACTGTGGCCGCTTTTAATCATAAACAGACAGTTTATCCGCTGAAATCACGTGGCGCAAGAATCTGCCTGTAGAAGAGTGATCATTGTAGTTTTATGAAAGGGAGGGGAGGAGGAGAGAAGGGAGAGAGAAAAACACTTCACTCATCCTGAGAGGATCAAGATGCCCATGGGCGAATGCATATTGCCACTCCTCCAAGAGCTTTCTGACACCAGGGGAAGCCACTGGCCTAGGTCTGTTTGGTGTTCAGCTTCCTCATAGGTCACAAACAAGGACCCACAGGATGCCAGGTCAGGGACAGACCATTGGAGGTGCCAAGGGACACAGCAGGGAATGTCTGCCGTCTAGAACTGAACCATGTCCAGAGACACCCATGGCTGCCTCTGTGACTGAGAAAGCTGATTGTCTCTGGCATGTTGGCTGGTGTGGGGCCGGGAGGGTGTTTGGTACTTTTTTCCATTTCCAGAGTTATGTGGAGGTCACCTAAGATGGTAAAGTTTGCTAAACCTATATAGGACACTGCGATAGACTGGGCCATCCAGCTGTAACTCCTTCAGTTCAGCCCCAGGAAAACGTGAAGATTGCATTTTGCTCTGTAACTACTGAGTCCTCGGGCCTGGCATTTCTGAGCAGTTAACTCCCATGGAAGAAAGAGAGAAAAACCCTTCCAGCCCTAACTCCTTGGTTGATTGTCCCTGGTCAGTAGGGAAGTGAGTAAATGAAAACAAACCCCACACAGGAAGGACACAACAGCCCGAGGGGGGTCAGGGACAAAGGGGCAGGGGAATTGGGGATGGGAAACTAATCAGGGGAAATTCCAAATAAAGGAGACCCTGAGAAGTACCAAGACTGCGCTCTGGTGTTCTTCTGAGGCCCCTCTTCAGTGTCCCCGCTGCCTGCCCTGTCTGCAGAGATGTGTGCCTGTGTAGACATCTCACTGCCCATCCTAGATAAGCTGCTTGAATCTCCCTGGGGACTTGACAACCAAGACCCCTGTCAGAGGCTTCCACGGCCAATGTAGGAGAACCTCAGCCAGTAGACAGCCAGCCTGTGTCCTCCTGGAGCGCGCCCTCTGCTGGCACTGGTACGGCTGGCAGTGCGGTGGCCTGGTCTCAACCCTGGGCAAGACACATCAACCTGACTGCTCACCCACACAGGAACCACCCCAGGTGCCCAACGGAAGGTAGCTGTTCAGATTCGACTTGTGCTTGCACCTGACATGTCGCTTCTTAGTCCACTCTGCTAAGATGCTGGCTGTCAGAAACGGCTTCCTTATGTCTCACTCCGTTTGTCCTGCCCCTCTGTCTTCTCACCTCGCTTTGGGGGAGAATAGTTAGACATGACAATCCTGAGGGTTTCTTTTTGTTTTTGTTTTTCAACAGAATTGCTATCTAACCCAATTCCTCTCTTCCTGAACCTTCCTGCATCTCTTGTTTCCTGGCAACCCCATTTGCAAACCCCTCTCCACTGTGGTGTCCAGTACACAGGAAGTGTACGTAGGGTCTGACCAGTGTAGCTCAAGGATAGGCTGGAAGCTTTGCCCTTGGGGCGTGCGTGCAGGCAGGGGCATGGCAGTTACGTGCAGGAACACCCACAGCTGATACACTTCAAATTCATGGTCAGTTAACTCATTTCCTATATGCCGCTAGCTAATCTCATACCCTCATTCGGCATCAAACATTTCATTCCTGCTTTGAGGAAGGTAGTTGCTGTATGGTCTGGCCACTTATGACTTGGCGTATTAACTCTACAACTTACTACCTGATTTATTACATCCATTGTTGTCGTCCACAGTTTGCTCATCCCTAACCCCCAAAGAAGTCCTAAACCCCAAGTACTCTAACATCTGAATTTAACTTTGGAACATTTTGCATTTCCAGATTTCAAAATATTTTACGATTTGAATTTTCATATTGAAGGTTTCCAGTTTATGAGGTCTTTAAAACTATCCCAAAAATCTGATGAAACCTGAAATCTGAAGTACTTCTCACTCCGTGCGTCCGGGTAAGGGACACTCAGCTTGTGTATAGGCCTTCTGGGATATTGAATTGTGTCTATTTCCAGTATGTACATGGACACCTCTTAGACAAACTTGCAGGTAGATTTTCTGTATCCTATGCTTCTCAACACCACAGCCATCTTAGCATTATTTTACACAGGCTGTCCAGCTACAGCTGAGCTTCAGGGGTTCAATATCCATCAGTACCCTTTGCAGCCCAGTGGCCCGCCCTCTGCCAACTCATGAGGGCCATACCATCTTGTCTTTTGATTGGTCAGAAAGCTAGAGCATTAGCTTGTCACGTGCCAAGAAATCCAGACACCAAGGCCACCACCTTTGCCTGATGTGTAACCTGCTAACTGCATTCGTTTTCTTGTCCTGCTGTGTGATTTAGACTGGACACCCTCCATTGCCTCTCATGGTCCCTAGATCCCTGCTGCACAAAGGACCCTCAGTTCTGCTCTTCCCCCGCCCTCCCGGAGGTCTGCTCTCCCCCCCCCCCCCCCCCGGCCCCCCCCCCCCCCCCCCCCATTCAAACAGGAGCCCGAGTCTGTCTCTGGCAACTCACGGCAAGTGAGCACTTTGTTTCTCTCCGGTGCTCTCCGGGCAGTGTCTAGTCCTGCCCGAAGTGTCTCGGGTCACGAGGTTTTCCTGTGTCCCTGCGGAAGCCATGTCAGTCTAATAATAGATGCATTCTTAACAAGGGCTTCCTGATGTTCGGTATAAACCATCCTGCACTGGTTTTGAATTATCAGTCCTTCTTGCAATCTCCTGTTTTTAGCACACTCAACTCCCACCCCTCTAGGCTGTGCCTGGATGTGTGCGTTATGTGTGTATGATGCATGATGTATGATGGAGGTGCCTGTTTTACATACACTTTATAACACATGTTATATACTAGAATAGCTACATAAAGAAAGCATCGTACTTTAAATTATAAGAAAGTGTTCATTTTGAGACCTGCATGCACCCTTGTACAGGAGTGTGTGACATGGCGTGGCTTGTCTGCTCCCTGCCACTCTTCAGGTCTCGTTAGTTCACAGAGTGAAACCTGGGGCTGAGTCACCTCAAAGATTCCTCCCAACTCCTCCACGTTGTGCACAGGTGTTCATTCACAAGAAAGCCCCAATGTCTGGGATCCATCATGTGTACTTATGATATTAGTGGTTGAAGTTTTTTTAATTATTAAAAAGGCTTAGGTCCAAATGGGTTCTGGGTTTCAATTTTTGGAATAGTTGTAAGCACATAAAGAAATATCTTAAAGATTGGAAGCAAGTCTAAGCCTGAACTCAAGTTATATCTCCTGTGCTCGTAGCCATGTAACTCAAGAGTCATTTTGTACAATGTTTTTAACATGCTTTTCTTTTGTGACATGAGCTAGATGCCAGGTTTCCTATTTGAGCTGATGTGTTGGTACTCAAAAAGTTTTGGATTTTCGAGCATTTTGGAGTTAATATTTTCAGATTAAAGATGTTCAGCATGCACAACTACTACTAATGGCAACAATAATTTTTAATTACTCAAGGTTTTAAAAATATTTTTTCTTTTTTTGTTTGTTGTTTTTCAAGTCAGGGTTTCTCAGTGTAGCACTGTTGTACTGGAACTCACTTTGTAGACCAGGCTGACCCTGAACTCACAGAAATCCACCAGCCTCTGCCTCCCGAGTGCTGGGATTAAAGGAGTGTACCACCACTGCCCAGCTTAATATTTTTCATACAATGTATTTCCTCATATTTTGCCTTCCCTAAATCCCCCCCATAGATTTTTCCTGATTTCCCTATTCTCCTAACTTTATGGTTTTCTTTCTCTCAAATAACAGAAAAGAAAAAAATCAAAACAAACCCAAAAAATCAATAAAACAAAACAAAAATAATAAAACAAAGGGCTCACAAGAAAAAAAAAAACAAAAACATGGAGTCTGTTTTGTGCTGACCAACTGCTCCTGGGCATGAGGCCTGCCCTGGAGTGTGGCTGATATACTCAGTGACACTTTATTGGAAAAAACTAATTCCCCCTTTCCCAACAAAAACATGGAACTCTTCAGGAGTTTTTGAGTCATCCTTGCACAGGGCCTTGCTAATCTTCTCTGTAGTGGTCCAATTTCAGTATGTGTACTGCCAAAGCAAGCATGACAATAACTATCTGAGCTACTTGAATGTACCACTGAGACTTTGAGTCTGGTAGTTAAATTCTCATGTTTTAGACCTATGACGTTGGTACATCTAGGTTGTTGCTGAAAAAGTTTGAGGCATGGTATGTCCAAGTTCCTTGCCTAAGCAAACATCCCACTGTGTGGCATCTGGAAAGCCAGCTAGATCTAAATTCCCCACATTCTCCATCCAGGGCCTACATCTTTGGGAGATTCCCGAGTAGACATGTAGGATTGGAATTGTGTGGTTCAGTGTCCAGTGTGGGAGCCTCTTAACACAGATGAACTATGGCCCATCTGAATTCAGAGGTATTATAAGTGTGAAATATATACTGAACATCACATAGATGTAAAACACCTCAATCACAATTTTCGTTCCCGTGCCATGTTGAAATTATATTTTGGACATGTCAAGCTGAGTGATGTATATTACTGTCTTTCTAAAGAGACTTCATGATGTGGCTTATGGGAACCTACAATGACAAAGTGAGTCATCCCAGTGGTGGCTGTATCGTTTTTCCATCACAGAGAACTGACTGAAAGGAGAGTTTAGATTTTGATCTCTATTGCATAGTTAGCTTTTCAAGACAAGGAAGTTAATGAGGACAGAAATAGCCAAAGAAATAGTCTTCACAAGTCAGACCTGAGCTCTATCCATGCAGCGGTCGCTTGATGCTTCTGCCAGGGTTGTCTTCCAAGCTACACCGCAGAGGTTTTAGAGAAAAAGAAAATAATTATTAATATTATTATAATTACGTATCACTTTTTAAGTATGAGAGTGTGAGTATGAGAGAGGGGAAAAAGAAGAAACAAGAATTTTAATGTATGTGACAGATTCCACATTAAAAAAAAATCACAATCTCGGGACATATTTTCACATTTATTTTAGGAACACAGAGAGTGCTCAGCAAGAGGACATAAATTCTTGCTCTAACCAGCCCTAAGCCACTGGTCCCTAACAGCCATACCAGCCAACCCTAGGAGCATGTCCTTAGTCTGAAGATTGACCTTCCCAGGTGACCTCTCCTCCAGGCAGACAGTGGTGACTTCCCAACAGCTTCACACTCCAATAGCTTTCAAAGAACTCCAGCACCATGAAGCCATTTTATACCAATCAAGAACCCCCTGGCTGCTCAGACGAGCCCTGGGGTTTTCCTACTGACCCACGGTGAAAAGGAATTCAAGGCCTATGGAGAAGACCAGTGCAAGGCTAAGGGAACAAGACTCTAGAGCCCTGTGCAATCAACCCAAGGCCTTGGCAGCACCTAGAAAGAGATACGAAGGCTCTAGAAGTGGAACAAAGCATGCCTCTCCTAGAAAGAGCGCCTACGGTAACTGTCTGTGTAAAGGTTCTGTCTGGACTGCTGTACCACACTTTACAACTGGGACCACACAGAAGTCCCCCAGTCATTCAGAAACCGCATGGATGTGGTCTGAGAGTAGGGAACAGAGGGAAGAGTCCCAGTCAAGACACTAACAACATGGAGCTGTACATAGGGCAGGGGGTGGAGTGTGGAAATGGTTGCTCGTCTAGAAAGAACACTTCTACCCTTTGTCACCTTGTTGGTTGTTTCTCTCATTGTGACCAAACACCTGACAAGAAAGAAGTGGCTTAAAGGAGGAATTTTTCGAGGTCATGGTGTTGTCTGGCCCATGCTGCCATGAGGGCCTTGTCTGGACCAGTGGTCTTACTTACCAGCGTCTGTGTTGATATCTGTGGCTCATGTTATGAGCAAAAGTCATGAGGATGACTGTGGTCTGTGCTGCAGCCTGAAACCATCTTGATGTCCAGAAGATTGTGCTACAACCAGGAGCCATATTGATGTGAGTGGCCTATGCTGCCACCTGAGGCTTTGGTGATGTCTGTGGTCCAGGCTGCCTCCGAGGACCTTGTCTGGGTCCCTGGTCCTACTCAGCTAGGGGCCGTGTTTGTGGTCTGTGCTGTTGCCAAAAACGAGGTGGAAATCTATGATCTGTGCTCTCACTGACTGTAAAAAGCAAGAAAGCAACTTTTGCAGTGGTATTGATGTTTATAGACCTATAGTTGAGAAAGAAGGACGTAGAAGGCTTCTGTGACAACCCTTACCCCCACCTCAAACTTCAATTCCCACCACCCAAAAAGTAACAGCCTAAACAGGAAGTCATCAAAGGGAACTCTTAAAAGGTTGGGTAAGGATGCTGAAGTGTTGCTTTCCACAATTGATGGCTTCCGGTGGGGCTGTGGGAGGAGCAGAATTCAGTTCTATTTAAGGGGCCTTTAGGCCCCTGGGAGTTTGACCGTTTTCCATTGAGTAGATAACACATATTAGACTTTCTTCTTTTTATTATTATTATCTTAATATTTATTTTGGGGGGAGTCACAAGAGTGGGGGACTGACATGGAAGGATTAGAAAATGAATATAACTGGGGTACATGATGTGAAATTCCCAAAGAATCAGTAAAAATATTGTGTGGAAAATAAATAGAAGAGGAGAGTTTATTGGGGTTAGTAGCTGAAGAGGTGTGATCTGTCATGATGAGGGAGATGTGGTGGGTGGACCAGGATGACAGTGGTGGACAGCAATTGCTTACTGGCATCTCAGCAGACCAAGCAAGCATGGCTGGGACAGAAAAGAGGGGCAAACCACAAACCACAAGGTCTCCAGAAATCCTCCTCCTCCAGCTGCGTCCCTGAACATTACCACTTGCAACTAAAACACACGAGTCTGTAGAAATATGTTATAACTGAGTCGTAACAGCTAAACACAACCAAGGCCGATTCTGGACAAGAGCAGTAATGATTTGCCTAGAGCATGCTGGCCCAGACACAGGCTGGAGAGACACAGGGAGGTGCCTGGGTCAAGGTGGTTTGGTCAAGGTTGATCCATTCTTATTATTGTGTGCCTCTTTTTTTTTTATTATTATTTTCTTTTTAGTTACATTTTGTTAACTCTGTGTCCCAGCTGTATCCCGCTCCCTCATTCCCTCCCCAACCCCACACTCCCTCCCTGGTCTCCTCCCTGCCCCTTTCCAAGTCCACTGATAGGGGAGGACCTCCTCCCCTTTCATCTGACCCTGTTTTATCAGGTATCTTCAGGGCTGGCTGCAAAGTCCTCCTCTGTGGCCTAACAGACTGCTCCTCCCCGGGGGGGGGGGGTGTCAAACAGCCTGCCCTTGAGATCCTGTTAGAAATAGTCCGTGTTCCCCTTACTTTGGAAAACTACTTGATTACTGAGCTACCACGGGCCACATCCGAGCAGAAGTTCTAGGTTATATCCATAGATGGTCCTTGGTTGAGTGTCAGTCTCAGAAAAGACCCTGTGCCCAGATATGTTTGGTCCTTGTAGAGCTCCTATCCTTTCCGTATCATACTAACTTCCCTTCTTTCATATGATTCCCTGCACTCTGCCGAGGGTTTGGTTATGAGTCTTAGTGTCTGCTTTGAAACATTGCTAGGTAGAGTCTTTCAGATGCCTTTTGTGGTAGACTCCTGTCATAAGTTCAATGCACATCCCATTTGTCTTTCTAAATGAGGATTAATCACCTTCGCCTGTGTCCACTTTCTTGATTATCTTCTTTAGGTGTGTAGATTTCATTATGTTTATCATATCTTGTAGGTCTATATAAGCGAGTATATACCAAGTTTGTCTTTCTCCTTCTGGGATACTTAACTCAGAATGATCTTTTCTAGATCCCACCACTTGCCTGCAAATTTCATGATTTCCTCCTTTTTGATTGCTGAGTAGTATTCCATTGTGTAAAAATACCACAATTTCTGTACCCATTCCTCCGTTGATGGACATCTGGGTTGTTTCCAAGTTCTGGCTATTACAAACAAAGCTGCTACGAACATGGTTGAACAAATGTCCTTGTTGTGTACTTGAGCAAATTTTGGGTATATACCTAGGAGTGGTATAGCTGGGTCTTGAGGTAGCACTACTCCTAGTTGTCTGAGAAAGCGCCAGATTGACTTCCAGAGTGGTTGAACCAGTTTACATTCCCACCAGCAATGGAGGAGGGTTCCCTTTTCTCCACAACCTCTCCAGCATGTGCTATCACTTGAGTTTTTCATCTTGGCCATTCTGATGGGTGTAAGGTGAAATCTCAGGGTCATTTTGATTTGCATTTCCCTAATGGCTAATGAGGTTGAGCATTTCTTTAAGTGTTTCTCTGCCATTCGATGTTCCTCTTTCGAGAATTCTCTGTTTAGCTCTGTTCCCCATTTTTTAAGTGGATTACTTGGTTTGTTGCTTTTTTGCTTCTTTAGTTCTTTATATATACTGGATATTAGCCCTCTGTCAGATAAAGGGTTGGTGAAGATTCTTTCCCAATCTGTAGGCTGTCTATTTGTTTTGATGACAGTGTCTTTTGCTTTACAGAAGCTTTTCAGTTTCATGAGGTCCCATTTATTGATTGTTGCTCTTAGAGCCTGTGCTGTTGGTGTTCTGTTCAGGAAGTTGTCTCCTGTGCCAATGAGTTCTAGGCTGTTTCCCACTTTTTTTTCCAACTGATTTAGAGTATCTGGTTTTATGTTGAGGTCCTTGATCCACTTGGACTTTAGTTTTGTGCAGGGTGATAAATATGGATCTATTTTCATTTTTCTGCATGTAGACATCCAGTTGGTCCAGCACCATTTGTTGAAGATGCTGTCTTTTTTCCATTGAATGGATTTGGCTTCTTTGTCAAATATTGAGTATTCATAGGTGTGTGGGTTTATTTCTGGGTCTTCTATGCGATTCCATTAATCCTCCTTTCTGTTTCTATGCCAATACCATGCAGTTTTTATTACTGTTGCCCTGTAGTACAGCTTGAGATCGGGAATGGAGATACCTCCAGATGTTGTACAGGATCGTTTTGGAGATTCTGGGTGTTTTGTTTCTCCATATGAAGCTGAGAATCTTTTTTTCAAGGTCTGTAAAGAATTGAGTTGGTATTTTGATGGGAACTGCATTGAATCTGTAGATTGCTTTTGGCAGGATGGCCATTTTCACAATGTT